CTTGGCAAAGACTCTTTGGCAATCAGAGAAGAGGAAACGCCGCCGACGCTGATAAACTCTGAAAAGTAATGAAGCCTTTAAGCTGCTCTGCCACAAACTTTACGATAGTTTTGGCTTGTTTACTTCGTAATAGGCACTTTTGTGCACAAAGTGCAAACAATTAAACGCAAGTGCTTTATAGGATGACGAATTTCAGTTCTTGCAACTATTAAATGGGTAAAGGGCCGCTATCAGACATCAATATATATATAAAAGTATTTGTAAAGGTCTGCTCTCAATTGAGACTATTTTTCCCAGTATTTGTAATTGAAGTGAAGCTCTTCTTATTTGCAAAGAAAATTCCTAAAGCTCCTTACCGCAATGAAGCAACAGCCAATACACATATGTGCCAAATGTCAAGTTCAACCAATTTTCTACAAGCATGTTCACTGATGACAATTTCCGGAAGAGGAATTTAAAGTGGGAATTGTACGTTTGAGTTGCATGTTAATTGTTTGAATAAAGCATAATTTAAAAAGAGAAATATTCGAAGAAATAATTAATAAAATAAAAATAAAAAATGTATGAATATCTATATATATATATATATATTTAAATCATTTCTCAAGCTTATTTCAAATTCTTAACAAATAGCTAAATCTCTTCTTAGCAAAGTTTTACAATGTCGTAAGGTCACAGTTTGACAGTCACTGTCTAGGACTTTCAGTTTAAGAGTCACACATCAAAACGTTTTTTATCTGTTTTAAGAGGATAGACAAAGTATTGCGTAGTCGGTGGCATTCATCTGGCGCATTGCAACATATTTTTTTTGTAATATATCTTAAATTGAAATACATATAATTTTATTACATAGAATTGGAAAAGTTGTAAAATAAATGCGAGCTGCACAGTGAATACTACATAATGAATGGTCTTCTTAATTAAAAACGACAAAAGAATAAAAAGATTAAAAGAAAATACATTTTTTCAATAAACAAAACGGAATTGCGTGAAAGCATTTGTAATAAAATTAAAAATAAAACATATTTTTATAAAAATGCTGAACTATCACTCTTGATATATATTCAAATTAACTTGGCAACCAAAAAGTTTTGATCTAGAATCCTCAGTTCCTTCAGCATTGTTACTCAATCATAGTACTAATAATTATATAGATATTTGCCTGACGTCTTATTCAAATGCAATTAAGTAAAGTTAAGAAATTTAAATTTCACCCGAATATACAGTTCAATTTGCATAAACATATTTAAAGCTGATTAGCCAAAATTGTTTCCTTTGTCTGATTTAACAATTCTGATTTAACAATTTCTCAACAAATTCGATTTGTTCTGTAATCAAATTTATACAGCCACACATTTGACTCCCAGTCTGAGATATCTGCTATCTCTGCCTGGCTTTTCATCTTGGCTTCTGAATGCATTTCAAGGCTGCCTTCCAATGAGCTCAGCTGATGACATAAAAGTAATGACATTAGAGCGCTTTTCAAGGTAACACAACCGCCCCCAATTTCCGTAATGCAATATAATCCAAGCGTTTGCCAGGGGGTAGGTTTTTTCGGTGGTTGCAAACATTTGCCCGCCCGTCCAACCGGTTGTGGTAAAACAAACATTTTGCTTGACTCTGCTCCATAGCTTCATTATAAAATCGATGAGTGGGTTGAGGTGTAAATTAAGCCCTGACTGAGGGGTTCAAGCACAAAGACACTCTCCTGTATTTACTGTAGCTCAGGTTTGTGCTGATTATGTTGCTGGTTCTACTAACCAGGGATACTTAGGGAACTGCCTGGCTTATGTGTTTTAAAATTTAATTAAGCACAAACAAAACTAAAGCAAACTTTTGCTTGAACTTATTAAATTTAAGAGTTATGTATAATTAAAATCAGAGTGTGCGTGCTTTAAAGCACATGAAAACTTTGCGGAAGTTAACTTGAATTTACGGAATAAGATAAGTTTGAGCTGAAGCTGAAAGCTCTGTGGTAAAAGCTCATCTCTGTGATTGAATACAATAAGCTTTCGAGACATTTGAATATAAGTTATTGTAATTGGTGAATTTTTTCAGTCTTATTCTAAGCTGACAAGTTAATTGGTGAATAATAAAAGTGTAATGCTTTAATTTAATTTCCAATACTATACTTTTCGATTTAAAGCTTATGAACATTAAGCTTTAGAAAAATTTTAAAGCTTTGAGTGTGTTTAATTGGTGAATAATAAAAGTGTAATGCTTTAATTTAATTTCCAATACTTTACTTTTCGATTTAAAGCTCATGAACATTAAGCTTTAGGAATATTGCTAATTTTATTGAAAAAACTAAAGTTAATATGTGTGTTCCTAAGTTTTTAGCGACTTTTAATACAAATTTAAAGAAATTATATGGCTTTCTTATTAAATTATGAAAAAATAGCTTCACAAATCAGAGCTTTAAGTAAGCTTTTTATGTAGAAAGCTTAACTCGGCTGTGCTTACGCTCATTTAATTTGAATTCGAATCTACAAACGGAAAAAAGCAGCTCACAAAAGCTTTAAGAAAGCATTTTTGTATTGACTAAATAATAAAACTTTTACTTAAAGCTTAACGCTCGACCTACTTGCCATTGATATCGTCTGCCCCAGCCGTTGACACTTGTATGCTTCATGTACTTCAGCAAGAGTCATTATCGTTTCGACTTCTGTAATACCTAAGCTTAAATTCTTATCTGGCCCCAAAGTTTCAGTGTATTTATCGCTTTTGGTCTAACTGACTGACAATTGTAAGCGAGAGCTCAACTTGAAACAAGGCTTGGCAGGAATTTTCTTTTGTTTTTTCGTGTTTTTTTTTTGTTGCTAGGCCACAAAATCCCGATTGCTAATACTCTTTCGCTTACACCGCCCCTTGTGGCAAATGCAAAGTGCGACTTGGTCTGCCTGGCCAGTTAATGTTCTCTGGCGGTCTTCGTTCTTCTTTTTTTTGCTGCCACTTGTGCAGCAGCTGCATTCGCTTGGTCAGTGCAAAATAGACTGAAATTGATGATGTCACTTGATAGGGCGAATGAGTTTTTCATTTTTCACTTTTCACATGGTAGTCCAGGACGAAACGAAGAGCCAGCCAGCCAGCCAGCCTCTTGGAGAACCAACAGCTCCACCAAGCTTCACGTTCATGTTGTTTAACAAATTCATCCTGTTGCTTGCGCTTCAGTGCGTGCCTAGTGCCTGCTGGACGGCCAGCACATGGCATTGTATCCTGGGGCGGTAGCAGGCGCTGCTCTTGTGCACCACACATTCAGACATACATACATACATGCATATGTATGTGGATTTACATATGTGCATATGCACATATGCGATTTTGGGCAGGCCATTGTTGTGCATCGACCTGTTTGATTGGCTTGCTTTTTGCACGTTTTTAATTAGTGCACGGCAGCATAGAAAGTAGATTGTGTGCAGAGTGTGGCACATGCGGCAGGCAGCAAGGCAGCATGTGGCATGTGGCATGTAGCAATATTGCTTTAAGTTGCTGGCGCATTAAACAAAACGAAATATTTCATAAGCGCACTGCGACTCAGCCACAATGCCAAATGATTTATATGCAAAGTACTATGAATATGAGTTCATGCTTGAATATGAGTATTGCTATGAGTATTTGAGAGTGTGTGTGTGTGTGCGTGTATGTGTGTGTGTGTGCATACACACACCTTGGCAGGCGGCGCAAACAAAAGGCCAACAATCGACTCAATTCCACACGACTCGTTACAGCCACAGCAACAAATTTTCCAAATGTTCTAACAATAGCGCGCACACACACACACACACACAGACAAGCACTCACACACGCACACACAGACTCACATGAAATTTGTGAAGTGAAATCACTTGTGTATTGGTTTTGCTGTTCGCGGTGTTAGGTAACAGTGGTTCAGCCTTTGAACTTCTCATAAAAGTTCTTCAAATTACATTTATTTCTTTTATTGAAAACCCTACAAATATTTATAATAGTTAAGTCGAGCCGCAGGAAATATGCATGAAGACGAATACTTTTAAATTGGATTAATTTCAAAACATATTTGATTTTTATCAACCCAGAACATCTAGCATACAGAACATCTACAACAGAATGGAAACGCTTAACATTTTATATATATTTCGGCTTTTGCTTGTATAACTTATTTATATATGAAATTATATGGATTTTATAATATACCATAAATATCCTGAGTGCCTTTCCTTTAATTGTCTAAACCTTATGCTATCAACTAAGTGAGCTCTTAAATGCATTCCTCAGTCCATATTATTATTAAGCACAGGTTAATATTAAGTTTATGATCTATTTTTTATTAAAAAGGCATCATTTTTTGTCCATAACAATAATGGTATAAAGTTAACGTTTAATAAAAAATGTAATACAAATTAAGAAAAATAATCAAATAATTATTTTGCAAATTTATTAGCAAGAATATTATTTGATGTGAGTAACTATTGAGATTCAAAGCATAATAACTATAGTATATTTGTAATACATAGCCATAGTACTCCCAAATATTATATTATATGTGGTCTGCTCTTAACTAAACACCGCCATGCAAAGAAGCTGAGGCCTTTTAACATTCTCAAATTGTTTGCTCGGGCGTTTTTGAGCATACCTATAAATAACTTCTTTTTTTTACGCAAAGCCTACGAATATTCTCGAATCTGCAGACGGTAACATTGTAGAGTTGAAATTTATTATAGTAATATTTTACAGATAAGCAGAGAATTGGGGTATTAAAATTTATAGCAAGGTACTCTCGCATCTCTTATCAATAGAATTAAGGAATTGATATATGTTTATTTGCAAAACTTTCCTTTTAACTTGTTATCTTTTAAGCAAACCTCGTAAGCTGTCACTTGGAGTTTATGCAAATAGGTTTCTTAAATTTGTCAACATATTTTGCGTATTTCTTTTTCTCACATTTCACTTGTCACACCTTAAATCACACACACATCCACACACTCAAGCACACAGTTACAGTTACTTTTTGTGGCACTCACCTTATTGGAATTACCATTGAATTTCAATAGCTTCTTGCAGGATTTACCGCGACTCTCGAAATAGATTTCCTGTGGCGTGCGTCGACGTCGCTGCACTGCCGGCTGTGTTGTCAGTGCTTTACGTTGCATGAACAGCGACTCGCTGTGGCTGCACTCGGTTCCTGCCACCGACTGCGTTGCCTTGTGGCGGCTCACGCAAAACAGGCGACTCAAGATGCCGCAGCAGCCGCTTGCTACAGGCGAAGTTGATGTTGTTGTTGTTGCTGTTGTTGCTGCTGCTGCTATTGTTTCTGTTGTTGCATTGTTGTTGGCACAACAGCGGGCGGATATGGTCATTAGGTTGGCATTGTGGCGTGTCTGGCGATTGACATCCATTTCCATGGTGCGCAACAAAAAACTGTTGCCTACTTTCCTGCGCGCGGTGTTGATTTGCGAAATGTTTTTTTCTTGCCTGTTTACTGTTCGTGTTCTTGTTGTTGTTGCTGTTGTTTTTGCTGCTGTTTAAACACAACTTCCGCCAGTTCCGCTCGCTTTTTACTTTCTTTGACCGTTTTTTATATGCAAATCGTTAGCCGGAAGTTTCAGCTTATTTTGTTTGTGTGTATTTATTTCAGTTTTTTTTTAATTTTTTTTTTTATCTGGCACTGAAAATAGCAGCGCGATGTGGCAGGTGGTTCAATGTCGCTGTGCTTGTTGTTGCTGCTGGTTGTTAAAGACACAACAACTTGGCGCCCTCACGCACAAATACAGACGCACACACAAACACGCACACGCACTCACACGCTTACGCTTACGTCGCACTCTCACAGAGCACAAAGCACAGAGCAGCCACGACGCTTTCGAGTCGAGGGCAGCAAGCCTACTGATAGCAGTGCTCAGCAGTTGTGTGGCCTGCTGTCTTGGCACTACAGCGTTGCCAGACCGCGCTGAGAGCAGCTGGTTTCATACAGTGCGCATGCCTGGCGCACAGTGCCTGCTAAAAGCATGTGGCTAGCGCCCTTTTCGGTTGCTTGTGAATGAAGCAAGGAATTTTGCCTGTTTACGTTACTTGATGCTGCTGCTGCTGCTTCTGGTTTTGCGGTGCGGGGCAGGTGATGGGCGTTTTACTAGCGGGGTGGCTTGTTACGTTGAGCGGGCAGCAGTTCAAAGTTGTAGAGCATTTTGCTTTATGTGTGTAATTGTTTGGCGGCAGTCGAGCGGCGCCTCATGCTATGCAGCAGTTTTTTTTGATACCCTGCAAATGAGAGAGAATCCTAGCAAGAATTTCGTGCTAGAGCCAGATAGAGTCAGACGCAGACGGGAAGAGGGTGAGATATATCAAAAATATGATAAGCAGAGTGAAAAGGTAGGATATAAAAGAATATAAAGGATGTATAAAATATAAGATTGTTAAATTCAGAATATTATCATTATACTCTCTTGAATAATTATAATTCATTTTCAAACCGTTCCCTTGTGCAAAGCTTCTATCGTATTATTATAATATGTTTATCAGAATTTATATATAGTTCATGTTATGTGTTTCTCATTTTTTAAAGGCTTTTTAAGACTTCAAAGACAATCTTATAATTAACCATATATTATTAGAGCTTCCATCCTGTGCGTTCTATACGTTAAAACGTTTCATTTTAATTTTTCATTATTGTATGCTATAAAAAGTCTGGTATATATATTTATAAAAATATTAGAAATGTAGTTGTCGACGCCACTTAACAGGGTATTTTATAGTCGTGTGCTCGGTTCAAACTTATGCAAACTGCTTCCGTTGTTGCATTGCTCTGGAGGCAGATTACTGACTAAAGTGATGAGAAGGCACACATTTCATCAGTTGAGTGTGCATATATATATATACTTATTGCTATATATATATGTATATACATTTGTGTGTGCTTGCGAGTGTTGTCTGTCTGCTCTGTACGTAATTTCAATGTTTCAACATAATCTTTGATTTGATTATGTTGTTGAGCTGCCTCCTATGTGTGCACAAAACGTGCCGAGATGTCCTTTTCTCGCTCGCAGTCTGCGTGTGTGTGTGAGTGTGTGCGTGCTTGTGTTTGTTTGCACCGGGGAGTGTGTGTGTGTCTCGGCCACTTCCGGCTGGGGCTATAAACGGATTATAAAGTAATTTAATGCTTTTTGTTGTCTGCCCGACAAGATAGTCGCCGGGTGCGAGTGCGAGTGCGAGTGCATGTGCACAGAGCATCCATCGGCAATAAAAACTTTTAATGTTTCTTTTCTGGCATATCGCATCGCATTAGATCGCATCACGCATACGCACTGTTGTGCCCCGCCAGCCTCGGCCTGGCCTGGACCATTTAATGAGTGGAACTTTTGGCGGTTGTGGCTCGGTCGTTGCCGTCCCACTAGCATTTTTGTGCGTAATTAATGTCCAACCGTTTGGCAGCATTGGCAGCTGTTTGTCCTTCCTTTCCGCCTTCGCTTTCACCCCCACTCCCATGCTCTTTTTATGTGTGCGGTTCGGTTGGTCATTTTGGCAACATGTTTATCTGCCTCAATGCGCAAATACATATGTATGCTATATACTCGCATATTTATGCCCGGCCCACGCATACACACACTCACGCACACACACGCATTTAGTTAGATTGTCACATTAATTGTGTACGTTAAGCTGTCAACGTGTCCAACATTTTTGTATCTTCTTCTTATTCGTGTGTCCAGCCGGCAGGGTCCTTTATTTTTTTCTTCCTCTGCTTCACGCACGCTTGTCGATTGCTTTGGCCCCATCATGGCCCAATATCTTGGCCATTTCTCTTGCTTTCATCTCGGGTCTCGCAGCCAAGGCAGCGATAAGTGCGTCTTAGTTTATCTTTATGTCTAGGCTTTGCATTTGTTGTTTCTTGTTGTTGTCTTCCTTCTATATCATCATCTTCTTCTTCTTCTTGTAGCTGTTTGGCAAATAAATACGTTTGATAATGTGGCACGCACATTATATTGATGGCCTTTGCCTCTGACCTTACCGCCTCACCCCTCGCCGTAGCTTTTGGTGTTAAATTGAATGAAGTCGAGAGCATTTCTGATTGTTGCTATGCAGGTAGAATAGCCGAGGAATGCATTGCCATAGACATATAAATACATTTACCTTGAGTTATTTTGAAGTGCATTTCAGCCACTCAGCATTTGGGTATGTATAAATTTAAATTTATTGCGAAATTTTAAGATTAATAGAAATGTGGGGTAAATATTTGTTTGGCATGAAATATTAATTTAAATAGATGTGCACAATAACAAATATATTTGCATTTCTTGTTTATCTTTAAGAACTGAAATTGAGCTTAAGACGCACACAGAAATACCAAAAATTTATTACATTTTTGAAGGTCTTAAGGGCAACAATATATTTTAATATTTTTGATATATTTATTTTCTATATATTTTATCAGAATATGAACATGTTTCTATAGAGATTCTTAGGGCAAAATATAGATAATTTACACTCATTTTAACAACAATTCCAGTATTATTATTTTGTCACAATTGTTAAAGAAATTTTAACTTTTTGTTGTGAATTAGAGGTAGAGTATTTTATATTTAAATGTTCGTGTCTTTCGGCGTAGTTAACTTTTTAAATGAATTAAATTAAGTGGATTATTTTATGATTTTCACGGCTATTTATTTTAATAATTGGAAAAAATTCAGTTGTTTTCGTGCATTTTTTATGGTAAGTCCGGATTATGAGGAGAGCACACACAATTTTTGTATTAAATAGTTGTATTGGAGACTATGCTTTTTGAATTAGTTAATATAATATAATTATTATAATATAATTGTCCTTGATTTCTTATTTATTTTTTTAAATTATATTTTCTTTTTTTTTTCACTTAGCTTGATTTAGAGTCTTCAAACTAAGAAAATTGTTTATAATAATAACAATAATAAATCATAAAATAGAAGAAAAATTTTGATTGTTATACTGAAAGCTTGCTTAATAATAGTTTTATTATAAGACCAGGCCGTAAACAAATTCTGTGTAAATACTCAATTTGTTAAGTACATTTTTTCTACACGATGTTTCTAGTTTTGCAGGCTTTCAGCCAGACACATACACACACACAGGAACATAATTCAAGCACATGTGAGTGCAGATACGAATGCCAAATTCGTTTCAAATGCCACACAGGACTCAACTTTTTCATGAAGCAGCTGCAAGCGGCACGCCACGCCTCACAGCCCACTCTGCTCGCCCACAATCAGTCTCAATTACGCAGCATTTTTGTATGTGTCGAACGCTGTTAGCAATGAAAACTGTGCAACTGTAGCCGAAACTGAAAAGTTCCATTGCATTTACCAGAGTAGAAAGAAAAAAATACCAAAACTGTTGCCTAATTGCAAAAATGCTGCCGGGCAAACACACACACACACTCACACAGAGCCCAACTTTTCCGTAGCCCAAGCACTCCGAAAAAGAAAAGTACGCTAAAAGCTTAAACAAAACCTCAATAAAGCCGATGGCCATTGCTCGGGTGAGCTGAATGGTGGGTGGTTGGGTAGGGGCCGGGGCCGGGGTTGGTGTGACTGGAGGTCGTTACAAACTATTGAGGCGGCAAATGGCAAACGGAAAAGTTTGCGGCGCATGCGCAGCTCCAGGACGAGCCGCATACCAGAATGCCAATAGCAATGGAAACGATAGCGACAACGACAACAACAACGACGAAAACAACAAAAACAACAACCTCATGTAAATGACGCTTTTATGTTGCAATCACGTGCTGCTATCTCTATGGTTTTCAGTATTTTTTGTAGTATTTTTGTTTCATATGCAGTTAAATTTTATGATTATTGCCGAAACGGACAAAAAAGTTGCTCACAAAAGTTTTTACCAAGCACGCCTGGTGCACTTGGCCAAATGTCGCGCTTTGATGCCTTCGTTAGTTGCTGCTGCTGCCATTGTTGTTGCTGCTGCTGTCAGTTATGTCGCGTCCTGACAGGATCAGCCTGACGTTGCACTCGGTCTGACGACATCGCATGAAATTTATGCAAATTCACGGAATTTGTATGAAAATTGTTTTATTTCATACTGCACGCACACAATCACTCATGCTGGCACATACTCACACACACACACACGCACACGCACGCACACTCACTTAATGCACGCGCGTGTCATTGTCTTGTGCTTAAGCAGAAATTACTCATACCACGTGTTGGCCGGCGCTGCCTTGCGATTTGCCGTTGCCGTTGCTGTTGTTGTTGCTGCTTCTGCTGCTGCTGACTTTGACGTCGCCCGGTTTGTGTTTTATGCAAATTCGCTCTCTGCACAACAATGTTATTAAAAAATGATAACAAGCCAGTGCCCCGCACAACAACAACAACAACACTAACAACAAGCAAAAACACGTCACAAGACAACGACAACTGTCAGTTAGACGGCTGCGGCTGTCCCCATGTCAAGTTTTTAGTTCGCTGCTCCCATTGTGGGTGTTTGCTCTTCTTCTTGTTGTTTCTGTTGTTGTTGCTGCTGTTGTCTTTTGCATGCGTTACGAGCACATCTATGAAATTATGCAGTGAAATATGTTGCCACAGCGAATATAAAAAATAAAGAAAATAGAAAGGCAGGAAAAACAAAATACTAACATGGGCATACTGGAATGCTAATGCCCTTTAGTTGAAGGATTTGAGGGGATTTTATTGAAATATGTAATAAAATTTGAATAATGTCGGTTGCCAGGTCGAAAATCTGTTCATATTCATATGTATATATTTCACAATATTATCTTAAATTATATATTTTATAACATATTTTTAAAAAAAAAAGGAAATATTTTATTTATTGACTTTAAGAAATTTATATGTTTTCTTCTCTTTTTCTATGCCCTTTCAATA